CTCTGGTCCCTATTAATGACCCCCCCATTCACTCTGGTCCCTACTAATGACCCCCCCGTTCACTTTGGTCCCAATTAATGACCCCCCCGTTCACTCTGGTCCCTACTGATGGTTCCCGTTCACTCTGGTCCCTATTAACGATCCCTCATTCACTGTGGTCCCTATTGATGACCCCCCCATTCACTCTGGTCCTTACCGATGGGTCCCGTTCACTCTGGTCCCTATTAATGGCCCCCCCCGTTCACTCTGGTCCCTACTGATGGTCCATCCCCTGGAACCACCAGGAACCACCATCTCCATCCTCAACCACCAGGAACCACCATCTCCATCCTCCTGACCCCCACCATCCATGGTGGGCTCCATCTTCTCTTCTCCAGACTCAAAAGCCCCAAGTCCCTCAGTGTCTCCTCACCATGGAGATCCTCCAGCCCCTCATCATCTTCTGCTGTTCCTTCTCCAGCACTTCCCTCTCCTTCTGGAACTGGGGAGCCCCACAACTGGTCCCAGTGCTCCAGCTGGGGCAGGATGACCTCCCTTGAGGTTCTCCACCCTCATCCTGGTGCCCCTCCCACCCCCTTGGATGCCATCGGCCACTTTGGCCACCACCCTGCTGGCTCATGGACATCCTGTTGGCCACCAGGTGTGTCTCCTCAGAGCTGCTCCTGGTCCATGGGGCTGTTCCTCAGGTGCAGCACCCTTGGTGGAACTTCATCAGGTTCCTCGGAGGTTCATGAGGTTCTCTTGGGAGGTTCCTCATGAGGTTCTCTTGGGAGGTTCCTCATGAGGTCCTCATGAGGTCCTCTTGAGAGGTTCTTGAGGTTCTCTTGAGGGGTTCATGACGTCTTCTTGAGAGGTTCTTGAGATCCTCTTGAGGTTCCTCATGAGGTTCTCTTGGGAGGTCCATGAGGTCCTCTTGAGAGGTTCTTGAGGTCCTTTTGGGAGGTTCATGAGGTCCTATTGAGGTTCCTCATGAGGTCTCAGTGGATGGTAACTTCCTGGTGTGTCACCAGCAAACGCACTGAGGGGACAACACTCCGTCTTCTCACCCACGTGGATGAAGATGTTGACCAAGACTGGAGCTCCCCTGGAGGACACCTCCAAATTAACCCCGCTCCCTTAATTAGAACCCTCATTTAGCCCACCCTTCCCTCATTTCCTAACCAGGACGTTCCGGGAGGTGGCACCAAAAGCCTTCATGAAGCCAAGGTAGATGCCACCACCCGCTCGGGACGGCTATTGGGTGGGTGGAGAGTCCAACAAGGACCATGAGGGGTTGGAGCATCTCCGTGGTGAGGAACCTGGAGAAGAGGAGGCTGAGGAGGGACCTCGGGGATGGTTCCAAGGATCTCAAGGAGGATGGAGATGGTGGTTCTTGGGGATGGTTCCAAGGATCTCAAGGAGGATGGAGATGGTGGCTCTTGGGGATGGTTCCAAGGATCTAAAGGAGGATGGAGATGGTGGTTCTTGGGGATGGTTCCAAGGATCTCAAGGAGGATGGAGATGGTGGTTCTTGGGGATGGTTCCAAGGATCTCAAGGAGGATGGAGATGGTGGTTCTTGGGGATGGTTCCAAGGATCTCAAGGAGGATGGAGATGGTGGTTCTTGGGGATGGTTCCAAGGATCTCAAGGAGGATGGAGATGGTGGTTCTTGGGGATGGTTCCAAGGATCTCAAGGAGGATGGAGATGGTGGTTCTTGGGGATGGTTCCAAGGATCTCAAGGAGGATGGAGATGGTGGTTCTTGGGGATGGTTCCAAGGATCTCAAGGAGGATGGAGATGGTGGTTCCTGGTTGTCCTTGGTGGTTCTTGGTGGGTTCCTGGTGGCTCTTGATGGTTCTTGGGGACGGGGGAAGGAGAAATGGGCACAATCTTGACCTTGAGAAGTTCCACCTCAACGGGAGGAGGAGCTTATTCCATGGAGGGGGTGGCGGGGTCTCCTGGAGACCTTCCTGGGGGTCCTTCAGAGGCGACCCATCTCCAGAAGGTCCCTCCCACCCCTGACCATTCCATCATCTCATGGAAGAACCTATAGGAACCCCTATAGGGGAGGCTGGGGGGGGTTCTATG